GCCTCGGAATCAATTAGTGGAAGGAGGAAAAGGAGTTGGAAAAGACTCCGGCTAGAGTGACCTTCGTGGTATCCTCTAGGGCTGACCTTCGCTGGGTCGCCCACAGCCCCCTCAACGGAGAGTAGGACTCGAACGAGTCCGAACTTCGGTAAAACAAATATCGTGTCTCAATTCGCATTTCATTTGATATTTGTGTTGCTCTAGCACTTGTGCAGGTTCTCTGTGTATACTGATAGTTAAATTAGGTGCCTGCAGTTTGGTTTGAAGATAGAAATCAAAAGGAGCAAGTTCGGGGCTGATCTGCAGAAATCGTGTATACCGGACACGTCCGGTATTTCCTGCCTGCACTAAAAATATTTATTCTCTGTTCTAGCTTGATGTTGCAGGGTTGTAGCTTCTAGATATATTCTTTATACCTTGTTTACTCTGTGGCTAACTTGTGAGGGGTGGTAGTACTCTTAATTTGGAGTTTCCATTTTGGAAACTCCCCTTTCTAATTGTTTCCGCATTTAAAGGTGTTAATTTTCAGAAACGCCTATTCACCCCCCCTCTAGGCGACATCCTAGGTCCTTTCAGGGTATGCTAAAGCTTAAGCATGGAGGACATCTAGTCGATCGGGGAGGGCTTGCTACCACACGCAAGGTCGGTGGCAGATCAGGTCTCTGCCTAGTGGGTGATGGACGTCCGTCGTGAAGATATGGCCAGAAGCATGCGTGGGGAGGATGCTGCCTAGCCTGCGGATGGCGCGAATCCTGGGTCAGAGGTGAATGTCGCCCCAGCCTCGACCGAGCCGAATGTCACACCGCCAGGGAGTGAGCAGCCCGTGCCCTTGTCGGTCGCACCGACAGCAGATGCTGCCGGGCCGGTCCAATAACTTGTAAAATATAAGTAGTTTAGTGAGTGTTAGAAAGTTTAAATTCATGGGGAGCCCCTGTGTAAATGTTCCTATGTGTTTTAATGACTACGGTCTGTTTCATTTTCTATAATGGAGTCACTCCGTTTGGGGAAGCATGTTCCCCTTTTGTTCCTTAGTTTTTTCCTTAGCATAATTTTGTTTCTTTGTTCTTTCTTTCTCGTACCTGCCCGTTTGTCCCATAGGCTATGACCTTGGGAGCCCGGGGCGTGGCCCGCGAGGCTCGGCTGTTCGTAACCGTAGGGAAAGGCGGGGTGCGATTGGTCGGAATGTTTTTAAATCAAAGCTACGTAGGGCAAATTGAAGGAACAAGCTATCCTTTTGGTTGGGTAGGAAGGAATTTCACCATATGATAGTAAACAAAACAGAGAGGTAGTAGTGTACCATAGTGGAGCCCCCAAGTGCTCCGGGCCAAAAGAGTGTTCGGGTCGGGGTGCTCTTATAGGAGCGTACGCTAAGTAAACAATGGTAAGACTGAAACTTAGGGGAAAAAGCGACATAGCTGTTCCAAGCGTTCGGAGAGAGGGGCGTCATTGTTGTCCTTCGGTCGGTAGGCGTCCGGTTGGATCACTTCGTTCTTCAGTCGTCTGGATCCTTACCCGCCATGCCCCCTTTCACGGTTGCTGCTTCTTTGCTTTTTTTTTCTTTGGCCTGTCGGTCTGCCGTAGAAGGCGCTTGAGGAGCTGGCAGTCCTTGTAGAGGTGTTTTATGGGGTAATCGTGGTTGGTGCACGGGCTCTCCATGAGCTCATGGAAGTGGCCCGGAGGGTCCTACTGGGGCTGCGTGCCTGTGTGATCAGTCGTGTCGACCAATGCGGAGTTGGCCGGTCGGTGGCGACCCTTTCTGTTCTTTTTCCTACTCTGCGTGGAGGGGCCCTCGTCCTGATGCTGGCGCTTGGCTTTGCCCTTGCCCCGGCCTTTGTCGTAGCGCTGCGGGGCGGCATTTGTTGGGGGTTTTGGACAGAGGTTCGTGGTCCCAGGCCATCAGGGCTGGGACTTCGGTCGCTACTGCGTGTGCCTCGGCTCGGTCCGAGCCATGCATACACAGGTGGTCAACGACTGTAGCGGCGATTGGGTGGAGCGTCCCATCTGCTGCGTTCCCATTCCCCTAACAGGGAGCGAGGCCGCGAGTCGGTGTCGTGATACGGAACACTCGGCTTGTTGAACGGCGGCGGTCTCCACTAGTGCCCGGAGGTTCTGGTGGATCGCCAGTTCATGAGGGTCGTTTGGCTCGGATAGGCCACACAGAAGCATTGCCGCGGCGGTGATGTTCTGGTTCGCCCGAGCGAACTGCGAGGGATCGTTCCCCTGTCCATGGTGTTGTGTTGGACCCGATGGGCGTGACCCCGAGCGCCGCTCATCGGTCTACGCACACGGGGTGCAACGAGCTGCGCCGAGCGTGGTGGCGCAGTCGGTGGCTGATGTAGCCACCGTTGTCATAGTTCCTCCCCGTGCTCAAGTGTGAGCTCGGGGGGGGGGGGTAACGCGTTAAGGTCCGGAGAGGTGTGAGTCCATGAGGACTCCGCTTCCGCCGGTGGGTGTCCCGGAGCGTCCACCATGGCGCACTCCTGGGACGGACGGTGGCTAGGCGCCATGTCACCGATGCTGCAGCCGTCACTCTCGCCATCGTCATCCATGAGGTCGAGGAAATAGGTGGGAGCATAGCTCGCCATTCCCATGAATTCGGATGCGAGAGGGGGCGGTGCTGGCATCCTTTGGAGCCCCCGGGCGTATGCGTCCGTGGAAGACGCGAGGCCGTAGGGGAACCGGTCATACGGCGGTTGCATCGGGGACAACAGGGTTCCATCGGGTAATCGGCGGAAGATAGAGAATAGTAAGTAAATAACAGCGTGTACATTACTCATAGCGGGGTTTGAGCAGAGGGTTTGCTCGGAAAGAAGCGCAGATGCCGCGTCGTCGTAGTCATGCGTCCCGGATTTGATGGAGGGCGCCCCTCCGACGGGTGTCGGGACGTGAGCCTCCTTGCGGAGGTGCAGTTCGTCGAGCCGGTCGGCGACGAAGTCCAGGCTTCTGGAGAGGAAGGCCTGGGATGGCTCGAAGACGGCCGAGACCCGCATCCTAGCTGGTGAAACCCACATCCGAAGCGAATCGTATCGCCCGAGCCCACCATGGCGAGGGTGGCGGAAAAGTGGGACATCCGATGACCAAAAAGTGTTGAACGTATAGCGTCTTCCCCACGGACGGCGCCAACTATCGGTGCAGAATGTGACCAACTAGTAAATATTTGTAGTTTTACCGTACGTTGTGATCGGATGTGGCCTAGCACTCAATGACACAGGGTTTATACTGGTTCAGGCAACGTGCATTACATCTAGTTTGGGTCAGTCAGTGACTTTATTCCTGAACCCAGGTGCTCGAAGTTCGCAGTGGGGTTACAAACGAGAAGGAGAAAGATGGGGTATACAAGAGGTCCGGTCAGCTTTGGTCAGAAGGGCCGAGAGCGACTGGAGCTACGCTATGAGCTAAGTGTTCAAGCGTGTGCTTGAGGTCCGAACCTGGTGGTTCTGTGGTTGTGGACTAGAGAGCTTGGTCGACCTAATGAATCTGAGAAAGGCTCTTCAAAGGGGGCCTCAGAGATAAAAAAAGCCACTCCTTTGTTGGAGGGAGCGTATCCCCTTTTATAGATAAAGCGGGTGGCTTTACAAGTGAGGGTACGTATGCTACTGAGCGTTGTTTGTCCATGCCGGCGGGTATAAGATAATGGTAGGCGCCTACAACACTGTTGATGTACTGTAGAATGTCAGATGCATGTGGGAGGTTGTGTTTGCCTTCTTCGGGAATGGTAGACGTCGGTACCTGTAGATACTGTTTGATGCCTAGAGGCATGTGAGGAGTGTCACCACGTTCACCCCATACGGTAAATCCCAGCGCCCACAACACTATCGGTACCTGGAGGCATGTGGGGGGCCTTACCGTACGGGAGTTTTAACGGCGCCTACAATACTATAGAGGAAAATGTCGGCGTCTACAAAACTGTTTGTGTCAGGGTGGTTGCAGAGTACTGTTCCTACAGGTGTACATGGTATGGTCCCTGGTATCGTGGTTTGACTTACGCGCCCTGACTTGCTTTCTCCGTTCGCCCTTGGCTCCTTACAAGCGGGCGTCCCCGGTCGGATAGCCCCAGTCGGTTCTGGCCGCGCCAGTCGGAGAAGAGCGGTGAGCAGGGTTTCTGTGCCCCCCGGTCGGCGATGCGGGGCCAGAGGCGAAAGTAGCGCTTTGGGCCAGGCCTTCCGATCGGAGAGGTCGTCCGGAGGCGGCTGGAGTCTGAAGCGAGCGCTCCGGTCGGAGAGGTGGGCCGAAGTAGTTAACGAGCGGGCGCCGCTCCTCTTCGTCCAGACCTTCCGGTCGGTGACTGGACCGCCCTTCCGGCCCGTTGTTTTTTAGACTCTTGAGTCGGCCCATGAGTTGTGTGCTGCCTGTTTGGGCCGAGCCCCGGCGTGGAAGCCGGTCCTCGAGGGACCCCGGGTTTATGAACCCGACACATGGGCTGGTCTTTAATGGGCCGGGCTCATGCTAGATATAATTGAAACATAATTAAAGAATTCATTAATTAGATGAACTATACTTTGAGATCCGCATAATGATATTTAGAAAAAAGGAGTATTGAGGCGCTTCTCAATGTTTTCTTATAGTTTACACTTTGGAGAAAATATAGTATAGGCCGCCTATAGTATACTCCCTTTGACCCTGAAAAAGAGTCATTCACGCTTCCTAAAAAGTCAACAATTTTTAATTTTGACCAAACATAGTTAACAAAATATTAATGTTTATGGTACATAATTAGTACCATTAGGTAGGTCGTTAAATATACTTTCATAATAAACTTATTTGGAGATATAAATGTTATCTTCAAATTTAGCCAAAGTTGAGAAAGTTTGACCAGCACGATTCCTGTAGCGACTCTTTTTTTTTTTTTTTGTGGGGACGGACGGGACGGAAGGAGTACGTATTATATGCTGCCTTTGCCCTGCTCCCACCACCTCGATATATAGGATATACAACGGGACCATACCGTCTTTGCACCATCTTGTTCGCTTGCATCAGGTTCTCCATTCCATCATCGATCCATGGCCTTCCCTGTGCCTCCCCTCCTCCTCCTCGCTGCTCTGCTCGTGGTCGCCGCCACGCGGCTGTGGGATTACGTCTTGGTGCCCCTCGTATGGAGGCCGTACGCCATCACCAAGGGGTTCAGAGAGCAAGGGATCCATGGACCCTCCTACAGCTTCTTCAAAGGCTGCAACGAGGAGACCAGGAGCATGAAGCAGAAGACCGACGGTCTCGTGCTGGACGTCGCCGACCACAAGTACCTCCCGCGGATCGCGCCACACTACCTCAAATGGAGGGCTCAGTACGGTATGTGATGTCTTTACTGATGATGATGTGATGCTTGCCAATCATTTGCTTGTTTGTGCCCCTGGAGGTAATTGAGCAAGAGCAAGCTATGGTCTCCTAGGTCAAGTGCCCTGTTTTTTTTCCCCTTCCTTTCTTGCTTCCTGCCAGCTTCCTTCCTTCCTCCCTGCCTGCAAGCACAGAACAACTTCACCCAGTAAAGCCATCATCGGATGGTAGAGACTAGAACCTTTATTCCGTTGTCTAAAAATATCCAGGTAAAGAGCCACGCAGTGAAAGAAGACAAAAGGAGCAGTAATGAAATTCACAATTCTTTTTAGGAAATATTGACAAAAAAATAATTTAGAGAATGAAACACAAGAAAATATGAATATATAGGGACTTATTGTTGATAACAATTCCGAGACGTATAGCCAGAGGTCTATCACACAGTAGCATGCTAGGAAGTATTTGATTATATCACACAGCAGCTTGCTAGGAAGTACTAGCTACCTAGCTCTGTCCTGAAAATGACGTAATTTTAGTTCTGTCTTTAATCAAAGTATTTAAAGTTTAATTAAGTTTGTATAAAAATATCAATATTTATGACACAAAATAAGTGTACTAATAAACATATATCCCATCACAAATCTAATGCTATTTATTTGGTATAATAAATATTAATATTGTTTTAAAAAAATTATTCAAGCTTAAGACGGTTTGACTAGGTAGTATATATATTAGTAGAATTTTGTGTTCTTTTCAGAACGGATGTACTAGTATATATACTAAAACCTTGTGGCATACAAATCTGTATCAATGCCTCGCATCGCAGGAGAACCATTTCTGTACTGGTACGGGCCACAGCCCCGAATTTGCATATTTGACTATGGCCTTGTTTAGTTGGCGAAAATTTTTAGGAAATGGTACTGTAGTACTTTCGTTGTTATTTGACAATTAGTGTCCAATCATAGTCTAATTAGGCTTAAAAGATTTATCTCGTGAATTTCGTCTAAACTGTGTAATAAGTTTTATTTTTTATTTATATTTGATGCTTCATGCATGCGTCCAAAGATTCGATGTGATGGAGAATCTTAAAAAAATTTGCAAAATTTTGGAAACTAAACAGGCACTCTGAATTGGCGAGGCAAATCCTTTCAAGCAAGTCTGGGCATTTCGTGAAGAACGATGCGCACCCTATGTTGTTGGCTTTGGTTTACAGATGACCAGATGGGCCAGGCCCGCTGGGCCAGCACTAGCACAGCCCGAAAAAACACGGTCCAAGCATGGCCCGTCCCGCGTCCATCGTGTCCTTGTCTGGCATGGCCCGGTCGTAGTGCCGTGCCTGGGCCGTGACTTCGGCCCGTAGGGCTGGCACGGGCACGACACAAATTTTGGGCCGGCACTATGTGGCCCGATCTATTTCCACCGTTGGATGAAATCCTGATGAACTACGGCCACTGGATGAAAAGTATGGAGTATATAGGGCGTGCTTGTTTCTCTGGATAAGGGTGGCCGACATGTACCAGTCGGCTCTGGGCAGAGGGAGGCAGCCCCAATAGGTGTAACTGGGCTTGTTTGTTTGCCTAGATGCAGTAGGGGCTGGCTGAGGGTGAGCTGGTGTTTGTTTGCCTGACTCAATGTATATGGTTACCCTGCATAAGGAATCAGGTATCTTTACCACCTCATCTTCTTCTTCCTCACCTCATAGGCATTTCATCGAGCACCTTGCTGGCGCCACCTCTTCTTCTTCCTCGCTCCCTGCTAATGCTACCGCATGCCCCTGTGCTGCTCCTCCTCACGCTTGGGATGGAGGGCAAGCCCAGCACGGCGAGGAGCTCGACCGGGGACATGCCGTAGGGGCACTCCATGTCCGTGAACTCCCGCACAGCACAGCCAGCCCGGCCTCGCTCACCTTCTCGGGCAACCAGCACCGCCGGCACGGGCGCAGGCGACAGGACCGCGGACCGGAAGCGGAGCCGCGCGCAACGCGAGCGTGGTGAGCGAGGACGGCATGGCCGCGGTGGCCAGGCGGGCTGGGGAGGAGCACGCGTGAGGCCGCCATGGTTCGCGCGTGAGGAAGAAGGGTGCCCCACCGAACCCGCCTCCACCTTCGCCGAGCCATAACCGAGACAGGGCGCCACCATCCGCCGTCGCGGGCATGGCCGCCGCCACCGCTAGATCTGCCTGCGTGCGTGGCCGAGAGGCCTCAGGCCGGCTAGGGCCAGCGCCCCCGCAGCTTGCGCGGCTCCCCTAGGCGCTCAAACACCGCCACCGCCGCTCCATGGTCGTCGCCGACGAGTCACCTTCTCATGCGGCTGGGTCAGCGCTCATCACCCACGGGAAGAAGGGAGGTAACGAGAAGGGAGGTGACGGGAAGGAAGGCAATCGCACACACCGTGCCCGCTCGAGTTTTCGTTCCCCTGGGGCCTGGCGAAGGCCTGCTTTAATGGCCGTGCGGGCCGGGCTGGAAAGGAGGTACAGACAAACAAACATCTTTGTTGCAGCCCACGGACGCCGTGGCCCGGCTGGACCAGGCAAACAAACGCGTCCATAAGCGCAACTGCCTCCCCAAATCCTAACTTCTTCAGCCTCTGTCCCTCTCGTATCCTATCCTGAGCACCACGGCGTGGGCTGCGCTTCCGTGGCGGCGGCAGCAGCAGCAAGCCCGCGCGAGGACGAGTCTGCGGCGGTGGCGGCGGCAGCAACAGAGCACGCGCCCGGGGGACGAGTCTGCGATGGCGGCGGCGGTGGCAGCAGCAGCAGCAGCGCACGAGGCCGGCGGCGCCGTGGCCGCGCTCGACTGTGGCGGCTGGCTCGGCTGCGGCGGTGCGCGTCCACGTGGTGGCACGCTCGGCTGCGGCGGCACGCGTCTCTGGTGGCGTTGAATCGTTCCTTGGGCGGATGCGCGGAGCCGGGCTTGTTGAAGCACGCCGGGCCACCGTGCTAGTCGGCACGGCACGGCACGGCAAACAAGCTATAGTGCCGTGCCTGGGCCGAGAGTTCGGCACGGCAGCACGATGCGGCACGGCACAGCTATGGAACCGTGCCCAATAGTGTCATGCCTAGGTGCGCCGTTCCCGTGCCTGTGCCGGGCCGCGGTTGGCCATGTAGGTTTGGTTGGTAAGGGGCTCGGCTTCATGGAAGGTGCTGATTGGGTGCGCCATCGCAGGGTAATCAACCCTGTTTTCACCATTGATAAGCTTAAGGTAATGTCTAGCTCTCTTGCATTTATAGACAAGTTTCTTCACAGTATGCCTGAGAAGCAAGAACAATGCTGTGTTCATTACAGATTATGACAAAAACAATGCTGGATTTTGCCGAGAACATGGCCAGTGAGTTGGAAGCTGAAGCATCCCGAAACGAGAACGGAGAAACAAAAGTGGATATAAACAAACACTTCAGCGATCCAACAGTTGACAACATTGCCTATGCCATCTTTGGAAACAGTTACGAGTTAGGTAAACAAGTCTTCGAGGCACAAACTGAGATGTTGGGGATCACCATGGCTACTTTCCTTGACGTGCCCATACCAGGAATCCAGTAAAAATCTCATCACATTCCTACAATTTCAGTACTCAATCAGTTCATCTCTTGAAACAATTTTCGTACACACAGTTCGTCCTTATGTGTTATTTTTTCTCAATTCAGATATCTCCCAACCCAAGCGAATCGGTGAAAATGGATGCTTGAAAGGAGGCTCAAGAGCTTACTCAGGCAGATCATACAGCCACGGTTAGCGAGTGGCGAATACGGAAATGATCTGCTGGGTGTGATGCTTGACTCTTGCACTGAAGCCAAGCAAGGAGGGAAGCAAGTGGGTGGTCTCAGCTTGAGCATGGAGGAGATCATACATGAGTGCAAGCTCTTCTTCTTCGCCGGTCATGAGAACACAGCCCTTCTCCTCACTTGGTCAGTGTATCTGCTCGGTATATACCCTGAGTGTCAAGAAAGGCTCCGGAAGGAGGTCCCCAGGGAATTCGGGAGGGAAGCTCCTAACCCCAATGCGCTCAACAAATTGAAAGAGGCAAGAAATAGATATATTGTTATATATATTTGATTTGATGATCTGATCACTATGTTCCTGATTCGTCTGAGATAAGCTATTTGTTGCAGATGACAATGGTGTTGTTTGAGACCTTGAGGCTCTACTCGCCTGCCCTCTTCATGCAAAGGAAGACCTTGGCCGACATGACCGTGGGGTCGATAAAGCTGCCCAAAGGCACAGCAATTGTGATACCTATTCCGATCATGCATCGAGACAAGGATGCTTGGGGCGACGACGCGGCCGAGTTCAATCCGATGAGATTTGAGAACGGGATCTCGGGAGCAGCGAAAGTTCCTCACGGCCTGCTGGCGTTCTCAATGGGACCAAGGAATTGCATCGGCCAGAACTTTTCGATGCTGGAAGCCAAATCGACGCTGGCACTGATGCTCCAGAAGTTCTCCTTCGCTCTCTCCCCTGACTATGTGCATGCGCCCGTCGATCTCTTCACTCTCAAACCTAAGTTTGGTCTTCCCGTGATTCTGAGGCCACTCAAAATATAGATTGCTCAACCCCATGTGTACGGGCTTTTAAACCTCCATCCATATATCATCTTACTCAAAATGAATTATACAATTGGTAGCCGAAATCAATGCAGGTATACATAATTCAAGTTAGGCCCTGTTTAGATGGGCTTCTTCTCGGTTCCGGCACTGTAGCAGTACTATAGCGGAGCCAAAAACCCCTAAAATGCAGCTCCTCCATTTCCTAGTTTATTTTAGTTGGAGCTGGAGCCATTTTTTTTTCTGGTGCTGAAATAATCTACAGTGTTGAACATTGCTCTAGAGTAAAATAGGAGCCGGAACCAGAGCACTTGAGAGCTATGCCAAATGAAGCCTTAGTCTTTTGCCATACTCTTATTTGGCTCTAAAATTGCTGGATAGTTTATATTTCAGGTAGCGATCGAGACGTCGATCACGATCAGACATTTAGAATTTGGTCTCTACCTGCGCTAAGTTTTGCTTTGAGCAGTACATTAAAATTCACAAGGCTTTTTCTGAACCATTATCCAACTAGAACAGATAGGCTTCATGTGGATGATGACAGCATTTGATTAGCGACCACCCGCCGGCCGGGTGAAAAAAAATCATATTGACAATTTGACATTTTGGGGCCTAGCGCTTTATTCAAAGCTTCGATTCGAGATGCGCCGCTCCTAGGGTGACAGCCATATATATAACCACCGATACAAATAATTTGGCTAAAAAAATTCGTTAGCCATCAGGTGAGTCACGGGATCAGTATTAAATCCCATCCTTATTTGTACTTGCGACCCTAGTTTATACGGTAATGGGCATCCGGTTGTTGGCCATTTACAACACGAGGCTACTAAAAAACTGCCCATACGTCAAGCCAGACTGACTCCAATCTTTTTTAAACTTAAACTACGATTTGTTAATTACTACTCCTTCCATCTCAGAATATATCAACTCCAGAATGTTGACAAGTGTTTGTCTACTTGATACATAGCCAGAAATTGATTTATTTTAGGATATAGGGAGGGGAGTACTCATGAGATCCATCTTTTGTTTGGCAATTTTCAAGTTTTAGATTAAACCCATCCACTAACACGGTTCATTAGTATACAAGCGTAAGAAATGGCATGGTTTTTAAGCCAGTCGGTGCCTATAGAAGCTTCCCCTTTGTCGTCTCTGCAGGGGATGATCCTATCTCCATAGGTTCTTTTACATGTATGTTTGGTTTGGAGACAAATAGAGATAGAATGGTTTCATTTCTAATTTTTGAATGGAACCATTCTTGTTCCGGGTTTGGTTGCAAGAGATAGGACCTTCTCTATTCCTTGTTTGGTTCCGGGGCATCAAAATATGAGATGAGCCACCTGACATGTGGAGCCTATTTTGTCATTCTCTGTTTTTTCTTTCTTCTTCCTTCCCAAAGATGCAGCGTTGCCATCCCGCCCAGCAGTCATTGGCCTGCCCGCACCACCGTGCCCACACACATGCGACCACTGCCACGCTCCTGCGTTCCTATCCCTTGGCCCGCAGTCGTCTCGTGCCGCCACGGCTAAACCCGCATGCGTCGGTTCGTCGTCCGCCCACACTCACCTCTTCGTAGCAGCGCTTGCAGTCACCCCCAAATCATTGTCCCTGTGCCTGCGCCACCACCGTCGTCCCTGCGCCTGTATTCGCCTCCACATATCGTCATCCCTGTGCCCACGACCCTCACTGTCGTCCTAGTGCCCACACCCCTACCGTAGTCCACGCGCCCTGCAGTCACCCCCACGTTGTCATCCCTATGACCACACACACTAGCCCACTGCTTGCCCATGCTCGCCTCATCGCAGCCGCACCTGTCTAGCTACCACAGCAGCTAACCCCGCACCTGCACAACATCTAGCCTCACATGCACCACCGGCATGGCCAGCCTTGATCGCTACCAGCTCACACTTGGCCATTACACACGCGAAGAAGAGGGACAATCCCCATCCTCTCATTTTTATAGGGACGTACGGCCTTGTTCGTTTCGCTGAAATTTGGCTTATGCTGATTTGTTGTGAGAAAAAAAAACATTGTTCGTTCGCTGAAAAATACAGTTGAAGTAGTTTGAGCGAATAGGGCCATAGGGATCTCTGATTCAAAGGGATATTCTCAAAGTATTCTAAGACCTTATCCTTATTCTCCCTCCACCAAACACCACTGAAAACAGAATCAACATTTCCCATCCCTCCTTATCCTCAACATTTTCTTTTGTTGCTGATGTGTGCCAATGATACAAAGAAATTTAAAAAGGAGCAAAGCCAGATGCAACTATATATAAAATATAAATATCACAACGTCAATGATGCACTAACAAAGACACCAAAGAGTATCTAAGCACAAAATTTTACGTTGTAAGGTTTTGACAAAGACATGTAATTGTCGTGGTTAGTTATATGTTATCTTTCTTTTCTCCCCTATGGTCACTTGCCCCAACCGTAATATACTTATTGTTTTCATGTCAGTGGCTACTGAACCGTCGTATTTGCACATTTCTAAGGCCAACCTCAGTAGGGATTTCATTTGAGTTTTATTTGCATTTAATATTATGACACATCAACAGATTTGATAACTTGACCGGTGTCGGTGCACACAGTAAGCCGGAAGGATCTACTTGATGGAGCAAGGCTGGAGATCCGATTGGCTTTAACGCAGGGCTAGCCGATCCTGCGAATACCCGAAGGCGTGCCGGTCAATTTGACCTGCAATTGACAAGGAGAGAAAGTTTATCAGTAATTTAAGGTGGAACATGCCGGTCTTGTCCAGACAGTTCCAAGTGTGCCGATTCGGGAGCGGCCAGACCGGAAAAATCAACTAAACAGCCGATACGCGAAGAAATCGGCTATTAAGGACTGTAAAGCTCGTGGTTTGCGATTGATTTTATGATGACAAGTACAATGCACATAGATGTAAGTGAAATCATTAGCTAGGTGAATATCATTAGTATAACGCATTGAGCCGATGAATCTAACGAGAAAGGATATAACATGCGAACAAATCGACTGTCTAGTACAAATAGATCTATAAATGCTCTGAATCTAATCTGTAACTATCAACAGTGAGGTTCGACAGGATCGATGGCAGCTACGATGATAATAACAAACTAAAACCGAAGAATCCATAAAACCATCTATACATTGACAGGTTTTCTGAAAGACATGCTATATGCGTGAAAGCACAAGCGAAATCGCCTAAAATAGCCAATTCGGGTAGAAAATGGACTACAGCATGTGAACAATTGTGGGGGGTACGACCCCGGATACCCATGGCAGACCACATGGGCTGCGCCCCTAGGGGCGGCCCAGCCTACAAGACGAAGCCTTGCGGGGCACGACACTGCTCGGCGCCTCCCGTAAGACAACGGAAATATATCCTGAAGATACTACGAGATCTGTTAGGATATGTATGATCCCTTGATTCCTGTAATCTGTTATTACTTTCCGGTTATCTCCTAGATCTAACCGACTTGTAACCCTGCCTCCCAGACTATATAAGGCGGGCAGGGACCTCCTTTAAACTCACGCAATATCATACGATAGCCAATACAATCCAACAGACCACAGGAGTAGGATATTACGTCATACTAACGGCCTGAACCTGTCTAACTCGTGTGTCTCTGTTGCCTTCTTGTTCTCGATTACACGCATCTCTGTCGATCAATCTACCTTCGTGGGATACCCCTCGGAGGACTGCCGATGATATTCTATCGACAGTTGGTGCGCCAGGTAGGGGTGTGCGTGCTATTTCTATATCGAACAAGATGGTACGTTCCGTAGGCTCTTTGTCCCTCCCACAGCCCGGCCAAATCTTCACGGTCGGATCGATCACGTGGATCATCAACGCTGATGGAGTCGGAGAGCTCTTCGAGCCGGTGTAGATCGATTCTGCGCCGATCACCCCAACACCTGCGACTACAGATCCAATCTCGGAACTACCTCTGAGGTCACCTTCATTGACAACTCGCCGCTCGCTTCCTCGCTACCAGAGGAGGCAAATCAACAACGATGATCTGATCGCATCCATCAATCAAGTTGGTCAGAAGCTTATCGATTGCCTCTTCATCACCGAATCGGCTCTGGACACTCTGGTTCAGCGCCGACCACCCTCCGATCCAGATCTGTCGGAGGCTGCTCGGGAAACTCCAGGGGTTGCGGCTCTACCCTTTGGGCTCACCAACGTCGCCGCCACCTACCAAGATGCCCTAAGGGGCAAGTTTGTTGATTAGGTTGGAGATGATCAACCTCCCGCCACCAGATCGCCGACCAGCCTCCGCTGGCCATCAACATGCTGCACGTCGGCCGACGCCCTAGAGCATCCCTCCAAACCATCCTAGAGGAGAATCCGAACTCCGAGTCCCAGGGCTCTACGGAGACCATCGCCGAGCAACTTCCTCTCCCTCCTTTCCGTGGGGGCGCAATCTTCAACGTCAGCGTCGACAACCCCCCACGGGAAGGGGAAACTGAGGAGGACCACGTAGCCCGTGTCAATAGGAACATCAATCATGCTCAGCGCCGAGCAAACAAGGCTGCCCTTGTGATGGCCGAAGCTTAGCTTGACTCGCAAGGAAGGCCACGCCAACTCCACCGCAACCTCGACGATGAATTCGTCCGTGTTGACGGCCACGACGTCTACAAGACCCCAAGCGCCAACCTGGCCGTGGCCGCCAATGAGCTCGCTAGGCTCCCGTAGACACCAGAGGTCGCCAAGGTCATCGCCATGCTTAAAGCGGCGCACTGCTAGGTCAACGAGATCCGCCAGGATTAGAGGCCTTCGTACTCCACAAGCTCTATTCGCCGATCAGCCATGCCAAGATCTGATCGCCGCCCAAGTCGTTTCACTGACCAGCACCACGACGACAGACAACCCTTCCTAGGGGGAGCTAGGGGCAATCGCATCGAACACCCATGCCAACACGGCCAGGAGGTCGACCAGGATGTCCGAGTGTAGCTCAATAATATCCGAGACGCACGACGATGTATCGACGAGCGCCGCTTCGGTCACCATGAAGAAGTCTGCTGCCGTCAAGAGTACGAGCAAGAGTACGGTAACCCGGGCTTAGCTCTCAAGCCACTCAACGCCGGCAACGCTATAGATCCCGACACCGACCACAACCCCGAAGGGCCCCCAGCATTCATGAGGGCACTCCGAACACTCCAGTGGCTCCGTGGTTTCAAAATCACTAGGGTCGAGGCATACGAGGGAAGGATGAACCCCACACAGTGGCTATAGGCTTATGCCACTAACGTGCGCACCACCGGAGGAGACACCAATGTCATGGCGAACTATCTTCCCGTCATTCTCATGCCAATCGCCATGAACTGGTTCACAAGCCTTGCC